GAGTGAGACAATCGCGAAGAACACCCCTAGAGACTGCATCTACTTAACCACCGCCATCAAGAACGTTCCAAAAACCATCCTCTCTAATAAGAATGTAGAGTGGATAAGACAAAGGATTATGGACTCGTTTGATATTTGTCCCATGTCCGTGCGAGCTTAGCAAGAATACAATATACTATTTTTATCTTTAATATAAAATTTTATTTGATTTTTATTTTGATTTTAAATATAAGATCTCAATTAATTTTATCTCTCATATTTATTTATTTATTTTTTCAAGATAGTTTTTCTAATAATAGTAGTTCTAGCTAATAAACTTGATTATTAATGATATTTTGGAAAAGATAACACCTATTTATTACAAATAACTAACTTAACTTATTTTCTTAGTCTATTTAAATTAGTCAACTAGTTTTTATATTGATGATAAGAGTAAGCACTTTGTAATTTTGCATTTCAAAATCTTGAAGTCAGTTGACTTTTTTTTTTTTTTTTTGCTAAAACATAGGTATCTTCCTATTGGAGACAATCCTATTCGAGGCACTGTCGGGCACTAAATGTGGGTAACTCTCTCAGTGGGGATTCGAACCTTGATTCGTTACTTTGTGAATGATTAGCCTTTTCTATTAGATCCAATCCTGTTAGTAGGTCAGTTGACTTTTTAAACCTATGATTTTGGGCGTTCTTATTTTCATTTGGGCAAATGAAACATGAACCGGTGTGCAAATGCCCACCTTCCCGTTACTCTTTATCTTTCCTAAGCAGCTCGCACTATTTTCTTTGTTTTTTTTTTTTTTCCTAGAACCAAATATATATTGAACTAACAAAAGAAGCACAACAGCCCCGAAACAAGACCCCCCCCCCCCCCAAAAAAAAAGGTTCAAAAGTAATAAAATCCAATCCAAATAAGTCCAGAGGAGTTGTAACAAAGGGACACGGGTCCTTTGAATCGCTTGACCAGATGGTCCGGATCCATCCCTTGTGACGTCACATCTGCTCCTGTGAGAATAGATTTTTTCTTTTTTCTTTTTTAACCTGAAACTGCGAGAGTAGATTTAAAGGAGCCTCATAACATCCATCATGAAGGTAGAAGCATTGCCGTCGGCTCCAATTACTCTCAAGGTGAAAAAAAACTCCAATTACTCATTCGACCAATTTCGAATAAGTGTTGAAGTTTGATGATTGATGGTCATATTATAAACCTAATTTAGTAGGTCATTTTTATTAATTTAATTTTATTTATTCATCGACTTAAGAATTGAAAATAACTATTTTAGTTAAAAAATCTATTATTTGTGAGAAATATGATATTTATACTATAAAAAGTTTGATTACATTATTTATTTATAAATATCTGAGTTACTATTCATTTTTTATGGTTTAATTTTGGGATTTAAACTTGAAATGAAATTTTAGAATTTACAATATTATAATTTCAGTTTTGAGAATTTTCAAAAAAATTATTTTTATTAAAGTAAATAATTTAAAGAATGTAAATAAATAATTTAAATTGTTAGAAAATTATAAATTAATGTTAAAATACTTAATGTTGGGTCGAAAGTTGGCTTTGAAATCGTAACATGGGTCGTAACATCCTAACTTTGTCTTTACAATTCCCACAACTCTCGTAACCTTAAATTCTCAAAACTGAAATTATAATATTTTAAATTTTAAAAATATCATTTTAAGTTTAAACCCCAAAATTAAATCATCAAAAATTCAATAGTATTTCAAATATTCATAAATAAATAATCTAATCAAAATGTTTATAGTATAAATGTCATACTTTTAACAAATAAAAGAATTTTCTTAGTTAAAATAATTATTTTAAAATCTCAAGTCAATCAATAAATAAAACTAAACTAATAGAAATGATCTATTAAATTAGATTTATAATATTATGGTTATGAATGACTAAACCTTAACACTTGCCCCAAACTCTAAACACAAAGTTATTGTTTTTGGGTAGAACTAAATGAGTATAATAATTTTCATCAACGAAGTTTTGTGAGGAGAAGAATTTTTTATTACCTACATGAACATCAAAACTGAAAGATTATCTTAAGTGGTGGAATCTCCCTCTCGGCCGCAAAATAGAAAGAAGAAAAAGAAGACGATGCGGAGGTGGGACGGAGGGTTATGGAAAAGATTAGGGCACACCGTCCCATTGAACCCAAGACTCAATTTACAGGTTTTCCCCTTTTTCTTTAATTAATTAATTTATTTCTAATAAATATAAGGGGATATAACGAGGGGTGTGATACTCTTCCCCTATCAGATAGTTCCCACTATTTATCAGATTTATTTTTTTCTTGTATTTTTATTATTATTTTATAATTTCTTTTGTTTTTATAAATCATATTCTTAGTAAATTCTCTTTACACAAATAATTATAAGGTAAAATTGCATTTATTGTATTTACTATGAAATTAATTTTTTAAATATTTAAATACTAAGAATAAAAAAAAGCATGTTGCAGTATTTTTTTCTAATAATTTTTCTTTTATGACCTCTCTTTATTGTTTTCTTTAATTATTTTCTCATTACTTTGGTTGACAATGTTGAAAGGTTCAATGGTTTCTTTCTCTTCCTTCCCAAACATCTTTATAATTTTCCTTCATTTTTTCTCTTCTTCGTTTTCATATTTTGAAGATGACCCTAATTTTAGATTTTTCAAATATGATTGTCATTTGTACAATTCACACTTTAATCTTTATCTTTCAATATCAACAATGTAAGTTGCATGCAAATTTATAAAAGTTCAAGCTGAGAACATATATCCAAAGTTAGTTATAATGTTAATAAATCCCTTACAATGACTAGTATACTCATATTAGACATATTTTGTCGTGTGTTAAATATAAGAACTAGATAATTAATTTACAGATATTAAAAAATTAGTTAAATAAGTTATTTGAGAAAAAATGTGTTGGTTTTTTTAAAATATCCTCTTTAATCAATTGCCACTTCAATTCGTAGTATAAGTCACTTGTAGTAAAAAATTTTGATCATAAATATAAGTCACTGGTAAGATATTTAATGATTATTTTCTAATTTTATTCTCATTTAATTCTTTTTTGAAAGAGAGAAAGAAGAGAATGATAAGTGATTAAGTATGATTTGTAATTATAGAGAGAGAACTTTAACAAGAATAAATTTAAAAAAGTTTTATAAACTTAATGCATTCCTTAACATGTGAGAATAAGTTACAATTTATTTATAATAAATGCCAAAGTGATACATTACAAACCATCCTAATGATGAAAGCCCCCATTTAATGTGTAAAATTAATAGGAATAGTTTAAATAAATGATAAATTTGAAAGACATAATAGATTGACATCTTACATTAAAAATCAAAACAAATCCCTTAACTAGTCTTTTTAATACTTAATGTCTCAGTACTACCTAGAGGCCACAGACCTATTTACTAATCAGATTTTGTTTTTTTTTTTTTATAAATAAACCCCAAAATAGTACTCTATCCGATAGTTAATCTAAAAACTAAATAATTAAGATGTGAATATTAAAAAGATTAGTTAACTTAGTTATTTGTAATAAATAGATATTGTCTTACCTAAAATATTTTTATCAATCATGTATATTGAAATATCGTTTCATAAAATTTTTTAATATGTGCAATCACCAAAAGAATTACTTAAGGGAAAAATTAAAAAAATATTAGAGATAAAATAAATTAATATCTTATATTTAAGACAAAATTGAATTTCCAACTCATTTTTATATTAAATACATGAGGTAATATTGTTTACCAATTGCCCCGTGAGTTGAAAATATTGTGGTGCGCATATAATCTTTTAGTAATAGTGTGTGGTATTTCTAATGTAACAATTTTTGTGTTATCCTTGATTTTTATTGTGCGCATCATCTTTATAGTTGCTTGACAGTTGCTTGGTAGCATGAGGATTTATTACTAGATGAAAGTGGGGTATGGAGGCTGTTATTGTGCGCATATAAGAGTGCGTGCGTTTGGAGTGTTTGGAGCAGCGTTTGGACCTCCCAAACGTGTCTTAAAAAATATACATGTTTATCATGTTATTTGCAAAGTGAAGTGATATTTGGATTTAAGATAAAAGTAAATGGACTTCCCAAAAAAAAAAAAAAACCTACGTAAGTAGAAGTTAAAAATTTGAACTTCTTCCGTGATAACATGGAAAGAGAAAACAATGAAAATAGAAAAGAAAGATAAAAGTATTTAAGCAATTCCTATATTCGCCTAATAATTTGATTTTTTTAAAAAATAAAAAATTAACTAATAAAATTTAATTTTTTTAATTTTTTTTCAAAATTCATCAAATTGTATAAATATGATCTACCATCTTTGTTCCTTAATATAGGACCTCAAGAGACTAATTTGAGCAGACAAAAGAAGCTAAATAAATTGCTCAATTATATTATATATTACATGATATCTCTAAAACATTTATATATATTATTAGATTACATATTAATTTATAAGTCATTTTAAAACTTATTCTCTTTTTAGTTATTTTATATCTAAACTTACTTTTTAATTATCCATCCAAACAAGTTTCAATTTATTAAACTGATTTTTATAAAAATAAAAATCGATATAAACATAAATCACTATCCTCACTTCTGCTTGCAAAAGTTAGATAAAATAAAAATCACTTTTGTCACTACCAATTCAAACACACCCTAAAGTGATACACTTAAAACGTACTACATGTCAAATTATTAATCCATCAAAGGACTAGGAAATTTACTGATTCAATAAATACTCCAATAATTTTACTTATAAATCATTTCTAACATGCTTTATCTAAATTAATAAAAACTTTAAATCTTATTAATTTTGCTTTAAAATTTACAACCAACCTCTATTTAATACATGCATTTTTCAAGAAAAAAACTTTACATAATAATAAATAAAAGATAAAATAATACATTCACACTAAATATTTAGTCATCTGACTTGTAAATATGGCCAAAAAAAAAATCTCCTCTCTATCATATAAATAGGACTAAAAGAATTTTTCCTTAACAAAAAGAAATATTTTACAGGATAACGCTAAACTGCTCACCACTAGCTCCCAAAAATGATTTCAGATAAAATCTATGCAGCCAAACATTTTACTCTTAATCTTACTCTTAAGCATATCAATGTCCCTCGGAAATTTTACAAATCGTGTATGTTTTATGGCCAATCTTACATTCAATACCTTTGAATTTACAGGTAAAAGCCCATTTCTTTACAGAACTCTCAACAGTATTTCTCTTGATTACTTGTTCAACCACTTTCTTCAGGGAATGACCAATGTCACCCAACGCCCACGCTAAGGATATGTGAGGTCGAGGATCCTGAAAAAGAATACGTCAGGGTCCATGAATAAAAGAGTGAATCAGAGACATAACCCCACAAGTGATAAAACCACTGACCTTGTAAAACTCGGGGAGATTATGAAGCTTATAAACACCATTGACAGCTTCAATTTGCTTTGTTATCTGAAATGCATTGAAAAGCATTTTGAAAAGAATATATATATATATATATCATGCACGTGTGATAGAAAGTGAATTTCAAGAAATGAATTTGTCAGATTCAATTTTCAGTCTATTAATCATCTAGTTTTCCCCATTATGAGCAGGTATCAAACCAAAAGAAAGACGGACTTGAAACAATTGCCAAAAGAGTTCATATATCTGAGGATATTCAATATCAATTTTTAACTTTCACGTGTTTGGCATCACATCACAAAAGACACGATTTATGTGCAAATGACTACTTATAGCGCTGAGTCCATATGCACTCAAACAATGTCGCGCTCTTTCATTGCAAAAAGGAATGCCCATGACATATGATATCAACAGTTACAAGCAGCAAGTGCTACGTGTTCTGTGTCTTCACATGCCAAAATCCACGAAATAGACATTGAGCAACACTTGAATAATATTTGGACCAGTTTGATTTTGCTATACCACAATGTCCACGTTAGTGTTCCTATTTCTCAGATTACAAGACAGAATGATCAAATAGCCTTTCATTTGGCTTGATCTTGAAGATGATTTCCTTCTGGCCTTCTAATGCGGCCCCCATAATTGTCTTGGTCAGAATAATGTCATTCCAGGCTCGGTTTTAAAACTCAACTTTCCCATGCTTATAACACAAAAAATCCAGAAGATTTTTCGATTTACTCTACATAAACATGCTTTATAGATAATAATAAACCAAATGAAACAGAAATGCCAAGCTGCGAATGACAAACATCATGCTACTAGCATAATGGCATAAGATTTCAACTTGCACAAATCAGGTATAACCAACAAAAATTAAGATAGCGAGAAAAACAACTTAATATTACCCAGAAAATAAAGACTTTAAAGCATACCTCTCTCAACCCTCCTTTAACCACTTCTAACGATAAAAAGGTGCGTGTGTAGTCATCATTTACAAAAACTTCCCACTTACTAAAGTCAATCCAGTAGCTGCTCCACAACAAAAAGAGTTAGAGGCAAAGATGGACATAGGCAAACAGCAAAACACATGGTGTCCAGACTGACAATTGACCAATTTAAGCACAAACTGACCGCTGTTGAGTTTGAAGTTTCTGTCGAAGCATTGATACCATGGAGTCAATCTGATGCACTCGTATTGGGACAGTTCTTCCCAAGCTAACATGAAATTCCCTTTCTAAAACAGCCCGCTCAAGCTTCTCTTCATTTTTGCAGAGAATATTAAGTGGTAAATCAACATCAACAGCATGAAGACTTGGCTCGTGAGATGAGACTTTCTTCAAGAAGGCAGCCAATTCTTTCTTTGATGGAGATGGAATACAGACTGCAAGAAAGCATCTATGAGTTATGGCACATTATAAAGTGAAGAAATCATATATTTAGAGGCAACAACAGGACAGAAAAAGTTCAGTGTATTGCAACTAAAAAAATATAAGGCACATTTTCCCCTAGGTACTTGAAGAGTTAACCTTTGAAAGCAGGCTTGTTTCAATAGACAGCCATGTATTAGAAAATATCATTACACATCCTCCATAAAACTTCAATTTGGGTACTTTCAGAACTTATCATTATGACTTGAACATAATATATCTAGCCACATTTTCCCACCGCCACAGTCCTGAGCCAAAACAAAATCAAGCCAAGAGAATTTGCAAATCGCCCTCTTTTGTAAGTTAACACCCATTTATCATCCTCGTCAAGTTGGAAAAAGAAAAGGAAAAAAGAAGCAGAAAATACAAGAACCATAAGCATACCACAAAATTCCATCAGTTTGTAAGTTGTGCTTATTGTTAATTCCTATCTCTATTGTCAAACAATTTCCATTCCTATTTCTACCAAAGTTTGGTTAACTTTATACTCCATGAACATTTTCAGGATTGGATGAAATATTATTCTGAACAAATGCATATATCAAAATCCTTAGAAAGCCCCAAAACTCCATTTATTTGTGAGGAAAATATGTCCAGGCCATATAAGAAAGTCTGAAATATGTGGTTCCGCTGTCAAATGCTTTCCTTATAATCATCCAGCAGGAGGTCTTTGATATACCCCTTCTCAAAGTATTAGAAATAAACAACTGAAGAACGAATAAGGCAAACTTACCAGGTATGTAAACATGTAATGCATAGTTACCATCGACATGAGGGAAACTCCTAATTCTACTTGTCTGACTGGTTAGAAAATCTTGAGAACCTTCACCATTAAAACAATAAATACCTGTCATTAGAAGGCACATAACATCAAAACAAGTAAACTTGATATAAATAACAAAGGAACCTTTGTTTGACTGCAACAGAACTTCAAAAATATGAAATGAGCCATTGAATTCAAGAAACTCTAATTTTGACCAATAATTCAGATTCTGAGTCGGTGCAAATTTTGCCAATTTTTATTATTCACTTTCATATTTCACCCCTGAATCATCAGCAGGCTCTCCAGGAAAACCATAATTATCTTTTGCTCTGTTCCCTAAACAACGAATAATATAAGCTAAACAACAAGAGTACCAAGAGAATTTGGAGGATTGAGAAGCGAGACAGGAGGTGGAGGCAATGGAGTGAAGCCTTCAGAGTGGACTAAAGTTGGGCTGGAAGACGCAGATTCATAGTCTGAGTCAGAAGATGTATCTCCGTAGCATGCTTTCAAGGCCTCCATCTCTAAGTCTACACTTCAATGCATGCCAAGATCAGAAGTTAAAACCTAAATCTTGTTTCAAAGTAATTGATCGAAATTAATCACTGAAAGAAGCAACCAAACACCACATAGGCACCCCAGTGCTAACATAAATAGAAGCAAACTTAATCATTGAAATTTCCCAACAATCCTCTTTCCAACGCCATTATGAAGTTATAAACCTTTTCAATTTATCTCTAACGAAGATTTAAATCACAGTCAATCCAACACAGAAACTAAATTCTTCTCCACCATCAAAACACTATAGAAACAAATGCCTAGATAAAGCCCATCTCCTTTCAAACCTTTTATCGATCACCCAGTGTGCATACAATTGGACAAGCTCCAAAAACATTCTTAAAATCATAGTCCTGGGTTTCATTCATTACAATTCTTAAATCCACTATTAACTAATCTCCAAAACTTGAGACAACTCAAACCCGTCACTAGGTAGAGGAACCACCACCATTTCCAATCCACAAACGGCACAACAAAGAAGGAGAAGCAACATTCTGCACACTATAAAAAATGGAGCATTCTGAAAATCAGAGAAGGAAGCTATTCATACCTACCCCCCACAGTGGATGCACAAGAGAAGAAGAGAAGTGAAGATGGCGATCTGCCTACACCCTCACACAGCAACGTAACGAAATAGGGAAAGAAGGGTGAAGCTCCTGCGAACACCACAGGGTCGAAAGAAATGAGTACCAACACCAAGCAGGGAGGAGGAGGCAACCGAGAAGAAGAACGGCGACGCCGAGCAGAACCAAGGAAGGAGAGAAGGAGCTCGATGATTACGTTACCCAAACATCAACCCCCACTAATAGCAATCGGAGAGAATGGACAAGCATAACACGCGCACTGGGAAGGGAAGAAGAAAGAAACAGGAATTCCCAAGGGAAGAGAATCAAAGACGATGGTATTTTTTTAAAGAATTTTTAAAAGAAGGCAGAAAATTCCTCCGGCTCACAGTCTCACTGCGCTAAACCCCGACGGGCCAAAAGGGCGAACGTGGGCCGATTAAAAAAAAAAAATCATAAATTGCTGGAAAAATTTCATTGAGGTCCCAAGCAACATAAATACAGCAAACATGTCTCATAAAATAAAGAACATATTCATCTCAAGTACCTAGGAACCTTATTGCAACAAAATGATAATGTGCAATTACTGAAACGCCCTTACTAATTTTTAAAATAAAGAACTGGGGGGGAGGGTTCACACTCGACTCATCTCTCTCATCCTTCTAGTCGCCTCCAATCATCATCACCTCCTTCATCGCAACCAAGTGATCATAGGTCTGCACATCGACGATCGATCTTCTCTCACCCCCCCCTCCAAGTTTTGTCTTCATCTTGTTTGGCTAGGTATTTTTTCTATGTTTCCCTCTCAAGCTTTGTCTTCCTATAACAGCGCCTATTCCCTCTGTATTTTATACACAATATACCCTACTATGTTGATTTGGTACTAAACAATTAGCAAACTTCTCTTTCACTATTTGAAATCTCCCTATTCATTGTCCTGCCCTTCGTGGCAGATTGATGTTTGATATAATGAAAGCATTATTGTTAGAGTTTTTATGGTTGGAATGATGTTACCCAAGTAGCATATTATTGTTGTGACTTTAATAAAGTTGCATAGCATCCAAGAATTTGATATTGATACTAATATATACAGAGTGAGACACCATTCATAACCATTCCTAGCTAGAAAGAGAGAAAGACACTTTTCTAGTAAATACTGATTTCTTATTTCTAGTTTCTTTTTTGTATTGTAATTGATGTACGTGTTTTTTTCCCATTATGTAAAGGTGACACCTTGGCATGATACTTTTGCTTTGCTAGAATAATAATTGAGTGAACTAAATTTGTTATCCATCCTACAATGATCTATAGTTCTGTTATATGTTTCTCTACTTGTGAATTTGAATTTACAAAGTCATATATTATTGCTTCAATGAAGAGACATAACATATTATGAGTCTCACGTTGGGGAGATTCACAAGTACTGTGGGGTTTATAAGTTTAATGGGCTCTCCTTCCTAATAGGCTAGTTTTTTAGGATTGGGCTCTTCCTTTGAGCTTATACTCATCACATTGGTGTTTTCATTGGGAGTTGACCAACCAGAAAGGGCTACCTACAAAGGGTTCTAACCAGTAAGAAAACCAAGTGAAATGCCATAAAGTGGAGCCACCCGAGACATCAACTCTTAAGGGGGTGCTCTGTTATGAGTCCCATAGCTTCACAAGTGTTGCAGGGTTTAAATACCCCTCCTTTACAGTTTAACATTGAACTCAAACAATTTACATATGGTGCCAATAAAAATAGTTTGGTAAGCTTCAAAATGATTTGAAGTATGTCTTTTTTATTTTGAAATTCATTATGTGTGAATCCTATAAAAGGTAATTAATTAATCAATTTTTTTAGTGCTTTGCCAATCTAATAATCTAAACTGACCTTTCTAAATAAAACCTAATGATATCCCAAGTTCCTGCTACATCAAATTAGCTGCACTTAGTGTGTGTTAAGTATGTTGTAAGTGTTTTTGTATTCTTTTATTGACAAATCTCTATGCATATGAAGTAGAAAATATTAACTGTGATGGGAACAATTGATCTGATCATAGTTAATTAGGTAAAAAAATTTATCATTTGAGGGAAGATGTAAATGCATAGACGCTTCGTACAAGGTTTTGGAATACTCTATTTATGAACCATATTGCCATGTTTTTCTATATTTTTTTTTTTGGTTATTTTCAGGTTGTGATGGATCCTATTAATGAGCTATGGAATATTATATATAAAGTATTAACTGACTTGGTGACTAGGTAAGGTCTCATCGAATATCTAAGATTGACTTTAGACATTAATTGGCTTTGAATGTATATAATCTTTAAAGCCTAAACTCTATATTTTCTAATGGTTGATCTTTAAGTATTTAATAACGAGTTACTACATTGTTTATTTCCTAACAGATGGAGATTTCTTTGTATTTCAATATTATATATTTTAATAGAAGGATGTGCTTGAAAATATCAATCTAAGATCACAAGGACAAGTGAAGAAGTAAGCTTTAGAAAGAAAAAAAGGAAGAGGAGGTAAAAAAAAAAAAAAGACATGACGCTATTAATATCTAATGATGGAAAATCGTCATAGCAAGAAATAATCAAAGTAAGAGGAAGGAAGACATGAATGTGCTTAAATAGGCATATCATTCTTTGTCCTTAATTGACAATCAGTGTCATGACAACTTTGTATATTTATCCGTATTGACTCAATTTGAGAATTATTAATAATCGATTTATTGATAACTTTTTATAGTTACTCATATATGTACGTTATCTTTTTGTAAAGGTATTGGATATTGGCAATAATATATTTTGTATTGGTTGTTAACAACTTAGTTGTAAATGTTATATTGGATTTTTAGCAGTAGGAACTTGACAAATGAGGGTGCCCATATTGCCAAGTCGAGGTGCCAACATTAGCAAGTAAAAATGCCTGCATAAATTTAACTAATGTACTTTGGTTATAAGGTGATATAATATTGTCATTGAAAGTGAATTATTACTTGTAAATTCCACTTGTTATTGAATTGACATTCTTATATACTGTCAATCGTAAGTGCACCCTTACTTGTTAATGTGCACACCTTTACCTATTAGTGGTGGTAGTGTGACTTGTCATTAAGTTTGTATATATTCATTTTGTTCATGATATATGTACATTATTTTAGTGTAGGCATTAATTATTGACAATAATGATATAGTTTGTATTAGTTGTTAACAACTTGGTTATAAATATTATATCAAATTTGTAGTAATGGGAAATTGACAAGCTTAGGTGCTAGCATTGACAAGTAAAGGTGTCAGGAATGATAACTCACTTTATATCAAAATATCATATCCAATTATCACATTATAGCCAACATGTATTATATAAGCATATGTAACTTGAAATCATGTAAGATTAAAATATGTAACTTAAAATGACATTATATCCTAATTTCAAGAACTAGGAATTGATGAGTGTCTATATTGATAAGTTAACATGGAAGTATTGATAATGACAAGTCAAGGTGTTTGTAATGACAATAGGTTAATTGAAGTTGGCAATATATATAAAATGACTTGTCTTAGAAGCACCCTCACTTGTCGTTACTAGTACCTTTACTTATTAATATTTTCACCTTAGCTTATTATTTTTTGTGGTGACAAAATTATGATATGAAGTTACATTTTATGATATCATTTGATATAAAGATATATTCTAATATAGTATGATATAAAGTTAGATATTCCGATACAATCTACATTTGTTGGATAAAATGTGATGGACAAATTATATATTTTGATATTAAGTGACTTGTTAATTCAAACACTAGCACTAGTTATTACTTACACTTTCACTTGTTAATAGTTGCACCTTTACTTATTATTCTTGTGCTGCTAAAAAAAATTAGATATAAGATGTTATAGGATATGAAGTTATGTATATTTTAATATAATATGGTTGGTAAATACATATATATAATATATGATATCAAGTTACAATTTTTGATATAATATACTCCAAGATGAAGTTATATATATTAATAGGGTTAAGATACAATTTTAACAACAAAGTTTTACACTAGGAGTATCTTGCACCATTAAGTTTTGAAGGGTGTAAAAGTAGATACAATCATTTAAAAATGGAGCAATCTTAACACTATCGTTAACTATTCCAAACAAACGTTAATTTTTGGCTTAGTGGGTCCCATACTTGTCCACATTGGCCTCTGTTTATCCTTTTATCTCTCTCTTCTTTCTCCTTCACACGCTACTTCTTCTTCTCCATCTTCCATGGCCACTTCTTCCTCACATATCTCTCTCAAACTCAACCCAAAGATAGCTCCATCATAGCTTGACCTTGAACCCTTCACTGTAAAAAAAGAGAGAGAGAGAGAGTCACTATACACAAAATCTACAACTTAGAGCCGCCACCATTTCTTCCAACTGCATCAACCAACCTGGTTGATGAGTAGTTTTTAGATTTCTAGCTAATTAGGTCATGGAGTCATTGATGGCATGATGGCTCTAACAAAGGTAAGATGGCAATGACCATAGTAGAATGTTAAAGATTGAGAATTTTGACTAAAACAAAAGCCTCCATATATGAGGAATTAGCCTTTAAGGCAACTCACAATGTATTACTTGAAGGAAGCTTTACAACAAAGCCACCAGGCTTTAATAAAGAGAACTTTACCTTTTGGAAGATAAGGATAAAGATTGTCACCAAAGCTTTAGAATATAGACTCTAGGATGTGATCAAGAAAGGGAACTATGTTCCTATAAAAGTAGATAATGGACAATGCATTCCTAAGTCTCCCAACAAGTTTGATAATAATGATAAAAGGATAATATTGCTAAATGACAAAGCAATCAATATGCGCACGTGTGTTTTGAGTCAGAAGGAATATTTTCGAGTCTCAAGCATGGAGAGTGTAAAAGAAATGTGGGAGGCCTTGGAGATAGCCCATGAAGGAACAACTAGAGTGAAGCAAAGTAGAATTAATACACTAACTGTAGTGTTTGAGCTATTCCGAATGAAGGATGGAGAGAGCATTTGAGACATAAAAGTCAAACTCTCACATCTTATCAATCATCTCAACACGCTTGGTAAAAAAACACAGTAAAAAAATCAAGTGAGTAAAATCCTCAACTGTCTCACAAAGTCAAATACAGTCAAGAAGATCAAGTGAGTAAAATGCTTCTACCTCTCAAAAAGAAGCCAAAGATCAAATAATCTATCTCAAGTGCAAGAAGCTAGGACACATTAAGATGGATTGTCTAACTCTTTTGAAAAGCAAAGACAAGGATAAGAAAAAGGATGGATTCAAAAAGAAGAAAGCTTATGTTTCATTAATTTAGGGAGGTAGTTCTTCAAAAGATGAAGATAGTGAGGAAGAA